ATTAGTGTTGTACTTAGAGAGGCATGCCGCCTGATCCATAAGCAGCCGGCTACTCTTCATTTTTTCATCAATTGAGGGGCATGTCAACTGGTAAAACAGCCGGCTACTCTCCATTTTACTCAAATATGCATTCAATTATGAGGGGCACGCCGCCTGTAGCTATACAGTCGGCTACTCTCCTATACTTAGTTCGCCATGAACTACCTAAGGCCTATGGCCAAATGATCAGACCAGGCGCCCAGCGAACTGATCCAATCCTTAAACTAATACGACCTGTCCCAACATCATAGCAGGCGTCCGGTGGAATCCCTCCGGATGAAATTCGCCGCCTGCTATGGTATAGACGACTGCGTCATCAGTATCTAAACTGTCGTCCGATCATTGATTCTTCTTGGCCGACTGCTTTTGTTTGGGGGGAGCCTTCCCCTTGGACTTCTTGACATAGGAGTCAAGATCACCTTTTTCAGCCAGGCTGTCCAGGTAGCGCATGAGGCTAATACACTCATTGGTTTCATGACCAATGTCTTCATGGAAATTACAGAATTTCTTTTGGTTCCGATTACTCGCAGAACCTTTCATGGGGGCCGGCTTCCCAATGGTCATCTGGCCTTGGATTTCTTTGAGTATAGCTTGACTATCCTGGTTGAACTCATACTTCAGGGAGTTTGGTTTAAACTCTTTTTTCTTTTTCTGGGACGGCTGATCAGAGGAGTCGGTTGCCCAGACTTCTTTTCTCTTCTTCTCATCTTTATTAGCCGACTGCTTCGGTCGGCTCTCTTTTTTGTCGAACCTTCTTCCATCCGACTGCTTCCCAGTATTACACAGGTCAGTCGTCTGTATGTAGGCTTCCACCTCAATTAATGCTTCTTGGAGAGTAGCAACTCTCTTTCGGACCAGGTCAAACTTGAAGGTCGACCCATCCTTAAGACCTCTGAAGAAGTCGGTGTAGGCTGCCTCATCCTGCAGCCCTTGTATCTGAATTCTCATCAGGTTAAACCGCCTGATGTAGGAACGAAGTCCCTCCTTTTCTCCCTGCTGTATAGTCTCTAGGTCAAGGGTCGTCTTCTTAGCAGGAATATACATGGCGAAGTTGGAAGTGAACAAGTAGGCGAGGGTCTTGAAATTATTCACACAACTAGTCGACAGGTTACCGAACCACTATTGTGCAATGCCCTTCAAAGTAGCTGGGAAACACTTGCACCATGTGGGATCATCCAACCCTGGGAGGTACATAAGGTTGGTGAACGCCATCAGATGGTCCTCTGGGTTAGTAGTGCCATCATAGGCGCCTACTAATACATTCTTCACTTTGGCCGGCTGGGCGGCCTCTATAATTTCTTTGGAGAAGGCAGACGGCTGATCCCCAAGTCTCAACAACCATAGTTGCCAGTCCAAAGGTTGGACGTTTCTTGCCGCCTGTCCTCCAAACAGAGGGGGCTGCAAGAAACATTGTTGTTGCGGCACGTATGGCTGATGTGGCACATACGGAGCCGACTGGTCTTTATGAGATCCGGACCGACAGGAGGTGCCGCCTGTCTGGCTCTCATAGTCTGATTGTGAATACCTCATGGAGGTATTGTTCAGACTGTCCTGAAAATCTAAAGTAGAGGCCGTCTCTAACAGTCGGTCACTCTTCTTCTGCTCTAGCATCAACCGAGCATCAGTGTACATTTTCTTCGTCCCATCCGCTTGAACATGACGGGTGGGCTTTCTCTTCCCAGTTGACAGGAAGTGAAACTTCGTCCAATCAATCACCGGTGGCCGACTAGCCCCAAGTTTTGGGTGAGGGGTTGCCGCACGATCAGTGACTGACTTCATCCTACCAGAGTGGGAGGATTTTTTAGCCGACTGTTCCTTTGCAGGAACAAGCGTTCTCTTCTTAATCAACTCTTGGATCTCTCCCTTGAACCCCCTCATGAAAGTCATGAGTTCGTTCCTTATAATGGGAGCAGATCCTTCAGCCGCCTGTTGTTGCTCAGGCGGTGGGCCGGCTGGATTGCTGGGTCTAGCTTGGCAATCTACCCGTTCCCTCCTTATGGTGGGACGGGTGCGTCGGGCCCTTAGGGTCCCATCTGAGGCCGTGTGTGTCTCCACCTCGACCTCATTATCAGTATATTGGTCTGAGTAGACTTGAGGATCGTCCACTGGACGCCTCTCTTTTGGATTCGGTACAGACTGTGATGCCATCTCGAAAGTACTCTCCCCACAGACGGCGCCAAAATGTTTCGGGGTTTTTTGATGTCCTGCGGGAGAGTTACAATTCCGGGACTGATATCCATGCGACTGTACCTGCAAAACAACGGAAACTCCTTGTGGTGGGAGTTCCGCCTCCGACGATCAAGTTAGTACTTGTTTGAGGAGTGAATAGTGCGGAAAAGTAAAGGTTGGGAGATCTGGTTCCTCAAGGTGTGGAGTGATCAGTGTGTTTTTGGCTTCTCTATGTGAGAGTAATTAATTTTTTTTGACCCCCTTTAATGAGAATTAATGAGGGTATTTATATGCCTTAGGAAGCGTGCCAGTCCTAGGTTTAGGTCAACCTAGGGCTGATTGGGCTTCTTCCGAAGATTGGGCCTAGGTGGCCGTTTTTGCCCATTTGGCATAGGGGAGGCCACATGGCGTGGCACAACTGGTCCAAGGTGGAATCATCATCGCTTGACACGTGGCAGGCTCCAACTGGTCCATGTGGCGGACACATGGCAGGACCTAAATAGTCCACGTGTCAGATGTGATTGGCTGGGGAAAATCCCCTAATCACCACCCACCTTGTTTGCTCTCTCTTCCCATCCGCAATTAATCGAGGGGTTTTGCTCGAAATTTCAGAAAACCCCTAATTCAATTAAAATAAGAACCCTAATTTAAGAAAACCCCCAATTCAATTGAAGCATGAACCCTAAATTTCAGAAAACCCCCAATCCAATTATTACAAAAGTTGATAATTTTATACAGCTGATATGTGGAGGGAATTGCTGCTGTTTTTGCGCTTCTTACGGTGGCTAGTGCGGCTGTGCGAGGTGGAGGAGATGGGTGGGTTGGTGTTGTTTGCGTGAGAATGGATGTTGTGAGGTGAAACAGGGGGCTGTTTTGGGCAGCGAGTTGAGTGGAGGTCGGAGTTGCGTGGGTTATAGGGTGGCACTGCTATGATTAGTTGAGGTTGATGGTGGTAGCAATGTTGTAAGAGAAGATGGGAATTGGCAGGTGCGTGAAAAGGAGCAGGGTAAGATGGATGTTACTGTTGTGTGAAGAATACAGGGGAGATGTGGCTGGTTGGTGTAACAGGGGAGTTTGGGGAGCAACATTACTTGAGCAAGGAGTTTGATAAAAAAAAAATTCAGAAGAAAAATGGAGGAGAGAGAAAATGGGGGAGGGAAGAGAAGAAGAATTTGTCAGAAGGTTAGAGAATAATGGAGGATTGAAGGTTGAAGAAGGTAGGAAGATGGAGAGAGAAAAAATCGAGGGAAAAAATGAAAATATGGGGAAAATTTTTAAATTACCACCCGTTAGGTGGGGCCCACAGACGGAAAACCACCAAATTTTGAAATGGGTGGTAATTTGAGTGATTATTTAATTTAAGGGGTGGTAAAATAAAGTAAAAAATTAAACGGGTGGTTAGTTCAAAAACAGGTACATTTTTGGGTGGTAATTTACAAATTTTCCTAATTATTATTTTTTTATTTATTTTGTGATTATTAATTTATAACTCAAATAATACACTCTTTTTTTTTAACCTTTACTTAGCTAATAGTCAATGATTAACTCATATTTTTTTAGTTCTTTTATTTATTTATTTTTATTTTATATTTATATATATATATATATATATATATATATATATATATATATATATATATATATATATATATATATATATATATATATATAAGAAGTAGTATGAGTGGGGTTGGTAAGAAAGAAAAATAATAAAATATTTATTAAAGTGGGGTTAATGGGAGAGAGAAATTATAAAATAATGGTGAGTCCTTGCCAAAAATAGTAGTGTTGCAATTATTAAGAAACGATCGAAAATGGAAAGTGTTGCTTTAATATGAAACGGAGTGAGTACTTTTTAATAAAAATATAGTACAAAAATCGAAAACCGCATCAAAGTGCAGTTGGGTCTAAATGTTTTTGGAAAGCGCACCAATCCGCAAACCTCGGTTTAGTCATTTCAAAAACCGCACCACAATCTTCAAACCGCAAAATTGCGGCTTGGTTTGCGCTTCGGTGCAATCTAGACTGCACTCTGAACAGTCCTACTTACCTTCCCCCTTCTACTCTCAAGCGTTAACCTGCGAAACTGTACTGACTTAAGTTGTGAGGGGTACTGATTTCGTAAGACCATTATCAGCAGTGAGGAGAACACAAACCCCTCAGTCTCTCTCTACCCACTTTCTCACTCTTCCCATCCAATTCCTCTCATGAGAGGTTTTTTTTACTACACCAATACTAAAAAAAAAAGCTCCTCATCACTTTATCCTCCACTATTACTCTACCCTACCATATTACACATCACCTTTTTTTTTTTTAATAATGTTTATACAACATATTTAACTTTTCAATACAATTAAATATTTTTTTTTATTATTTACATTTTAATTATAATGTAATAATTTTTAATAATTTTTTAATTATTTTGGTAATTTTTTATTTTTTTTGTAATTTTTTTATTTATTCAATGACGGTTAAAATTAATAAATAGAACATTTTCAGTATAATTTTTTATTTAACGTTCTTATTAGAATATAATAATAAAAAAAATTACATCAATTATAGATTCTACGAAAGATGTTTTCTTAAACTTAAACGATTACATAAGAAGCACATTTTTGAAATGAACACATAAACGGCAATACAAATATATCGGATATTAAATAATAGTACGATTACAAACTTAATAAAAGCGGTTTGAGCTAAAATAATACACAAAGACGAGTATTAAAACTTAAAAACGATACGATTACAAACTACAAATTTGCTTATTCGGCCGTATTATGACGAAAGTTCTACCATATGTGCTCTACTAAATCTTGTTTGAGAGACGAATGAATTTCTCTATCACGAAGGGCAATCCTCCTCTGAAAATAAGCGTTGAAATCAATGTTGGGTGGCTGCCCTACGTTGAATTCAAATGGCTCGTTGTTATTCACCGTGGCACTTGTGCTCGGTCCCGCCCTCGCTGCTGTACGTTGTGGTCGATCTTCTTCGTAGTATCGTCTCAAAACAACTGCACGTGTGCAGTTGTGTCGTTCATCCTCGACGATCATGTTGTGCATTATTATACAGGCTTTCATAATGTCACAAAGAATATCTTCGTCGAAGGCCACTGCTGGTTGTCGTAGTATAGCAAACCTAGCTTGTAAAACTCCGAAAGCCCGTTCAACGTCTTTCCGAACTGCTGCTTGTTGATCAGCAAACAGCTTGTCTTTTTGAACTTGAGGATGTGTAATACCTTGTATAAAAGTTGGCCATTTCGAGTAAATCCCATCTGCCAAGTAGTAGGCCAACTCATATTGATGTCCGTTTACCCGAAAATGTATTGGTGGTGCACGACCTTGTAAAACATCATCAAACACCAGTGAACGGTAAAGGACATTAAGATCATTACATGAGCCAGGCATTCCAAAGAACGCATGCCAAATCCATAAATCCTGATCAGCAACGGCTTCAAGAATGAGGGTAACAGTCTTGCTACGACCAGCATATTGTGCTTTCCAAGCCGTAGGACAATTCTTCCACTCCCAATGCATGCAGACTATACTACCAATCATGCGTGGAAACCCACGCAATTCATTTTGATGAAGGATTCTCCTTAAATCTTCATCTGTAGGGTTACGTAGATATTCATTTTCAAATTGTAAAATAACCCCTTGACAAAAATGTTGCAATGCATTCCTTGAGGTTGTTTGGCCTATACGTAGATATTCATCCACGACATCTGGGGCTACGCCATAGGCTAACATTCTTATTGCAGCGGTGCATTTCTGCAACGGTGATAAACCAAGCTTTCCAGCTGCATTCCGACGTTGTTGGAAGAATTGATCCCCTTCAACGACCTTGTTCATAATGCGACAGAACAATGTTCTTCACATACGAAATCTACGGCGGAATTGGTTGTCGTTATACACTACATTACTCGCAAAATAATCGTTATATAGTTGCACATGCCCTTTTTCCCTTTCCTTATCCCTTTTAGGCTTCGGGACATTTTCTATATCATTATTAAGTTGGGATTCTTGTGATGAGTGTTGTTGAATTAAAATATGAGGTAGGTGGCTAGCAGTATAATTATCAACTAACCGATCAAAATCAACGTTATTTGAGAAATCAGAAAAACTAGAGCTTGAGGTGGAGGAAATAAAAGACATCTTTTGGTTATGGTACGATTTGATAGTTGGTTTGTTTGGGATTCTTTCCGTTCTGAATAACACATGCTTGTATATATAGTAAAAGTGACTATCAATAATGCATGTGAGTTGCTCTGAAGTTGCATGTGATTAACTCTGAATTGTAATTCATGTATCATTGCATGTGACATACGACACTTCAATGCAATCTCTGCAATGAAATTGATTTGTCATTGCACTCTGAATTGCAAATGAATTATTGCTGCATGTGATCTATGACACTTCAATGCAATCTCTGCAATGAAATTGATTTGTCATTGCACTCTGAATTGCAAATGAATTATTGCTGCATGTGATCTATGACACTTCAATGCAATCTCTGCAATGAAATTGATTTGTCATTGCACTCTGAATTGCAATTGAATTATTAATGCATGTTATGACACTTCAACAGTTGATATGACTCTTCAATATTGTATATAATTATCAATACTTGTGATCAGTTGATATGACTCTTCAACAAAAAGATGTGAAGATTTTATTGAGAGTTGTATATTTCTAATTAACCAATACATGTGATTATTATTTAAAACAAATTTAATAAAGTAAATAAATTACTGCATAGTTAATGTTATATAAAAACATAATTCATTTAACATTAATTAAAATAAAAAGGAGTACATCTAACATTAATTAAAATAAAAAGGACTACATTGAACATTAATTAAATAAAACAGTAGAAAACACAATAAGCTGATCTAAATTACATGTTCCTTCTCCCATAGAGTAGTGCATGTAATTCTTCCTTGTATGCCTCTTCATCAGGAGTTAGGTCTGGTCCCTTTGCAATTAGATCTTGCAGCATTTCATAGTTGAGCCTTCTCTCTTGAATTTCGACTTGTTTTTGGTGAAGCTCGACTTGTTTTTGCTTCCTTCTTTCCCTTTCCATGTCGAATTCCAACTTCTTCAACCGCATTTGTGCCTCAATTTCCCTACTTGCATTATTCTGCTGCATTTGCTCACTAATGTTTGAAACTTAAAAAGCCACCCCTTTTCCCTTATTACGCCTGGACTTTGCCTTTTTAACGCCATCAGGTCGAGGAAGACCTCCAAAACAGAAACCGGTAACGGGAACATCATCTTCATCTTCAGTTCTACACCGCTTTTCACTTCCACTACTGTCATCTTCGACCGCATCACCGCAAGCTAATCTTTCCTCTCTTGACAACGCCCATCTCAGTTTTGTCCTCCACTTCGGGTCATTTTTAACCATTTCCCAACCATGGTGACAATTAAAATTATGTGGAGTAGGCTTGGAGGAAATATAGAATAACTTACTTGCATTATTAATTCGGTCTGCTTCGTTGTAACCACTTCCAGTTGCCCTACCAGCTTCGTCATAGCAACTACTCCATTGTATTAAATCAGTTGCCATCCTTCTCCAACGACTTTCCAAACTCCTCAAAGGTCTTGGCGGTAGGATGTGGGGTTTCTCAGCCTGCGCTTGATCATATGCTGCAGATATTTTTCGCCATAGCGCAGCTGCTTTTTGGTTTGTACCAACAATTGCATCTTCACTAAATTGAAGATACAAACCAATTAGAGCTTCATCCTCCGCAACAGACCACATTCGACTTCCTTTTGTAAGTGGTTGGTTTTGATTCGCAGACACTCTTGAAGGAAGTGGAGAGTATTAAGGAGTGTCTGGAACAGTTTCTTCCATTTCATCATCAAATTGAGAATTGGTCCCTTGATAAACAAGAGGTGAATGTGGTTCATAGGTAGTGTTTTGGAAAGGAGTTTGATGAGGTGTTTGTTGTGGTGAATTTTGCAAAGAAGTGTTTCCAAGCCTTTGTAGGAAAAGCTGAAATCGAGGATTAGTGACAAAATCATCACCCAAATCAGAGAAATGATTAGAAAAATCAGGGTTGTTAGGATCCATAAGTTGATGAAGTAGTAAAGTAATAAAGCTTTAAACAATAATTAGTAAAAAAATCAACAATTACTAAAAAAACAATAACTAAATTATATTTTCACAAAATAAAAACAGCAACAACAACAATAATATTAATGCTAATAATAATAATAATAATAATAACAACAACAACAACAACAACAACAACAACAACAACAACAACAACAACAACAAACAACAACAACAACAACAACAACAACAACAACAACAACAACAACAACAACAACAATAATAATAATAATAATAATAATAATAATAATAATAATAATAATTTTTTTTAAGGAAACCGTAATTAATAATTATAATAATAAGAAGAAGTGAGGATTGGGAAATTAGTGAATATAGGAGATTTTTTGGGTTTTTGAAAGTATATCAAAATATATCAAAATGCATGTCTATTTATAGAGAATAAAATTTTATGGCCGTTGGTGTATTTTTTTTTTATTTTTTTTTATATATTTATAACGGCATTATTACCGTTAAATTGAATATAACCGTTGGGAAAAAGAGAAAAATTCTGATTGGCTGAATTAAATGGCACTGACGCGTGACGCAATCTCATTGGTTGCCTTGATGCGCGCCAGTTGCCATGCAATTCAAATTTTTTTTGCTGAGATTGCAACCAAATGACGTCGTTTTGGCCTGAGGAAGCACAAAACGCGTTGTTTTGGCTGCTTTCTCAACAAGCTAAATGCGCTGGCGTCATTTGCTCGTGGGCCCCGACATTGTCACTGTGCATCCTTATTTCCCCTCAAGTCTTGTGCGTTTTTCAATCTCCTCAACCATGAGAAGAATTCCCCTCACTGAAGTAGTGTTTGGTTTTTTTTTTTTTTACACCTTAAGTTTCACTCGTGAGGGCTTTTTCACTCACTGATGGGAGTGCTCTAAGGTCCTTCATCAAACTTTTTTAAAAAAAAAAAAATAAACAAAACAAAACAAACGTGGGCTAATTTTCCCACTTGTAAACACACCCAAAAAAAGGAGGCGCAGACTCTAAACGGCTAAACCCCAGTACCTTGCTCGGGTTTAACGTTACTCTCTTACGCCCTCTGCTCCCGTTACACAACGCTTTCCCAGTTCCCGCTCAATCTTCACTTTCTTCAGTCAGTCATTTCGTCGAACACCTGAGCAACAACATCAAAGATACTTGATTACTCATGAAATCCACCAAATCCACAGCCTTAGCCTTAGCTCAAAAATGCAAGGTTCTTCTTCTCCCTCTCCTGTTAATTGATACAAATTATGTCATTTTTATTTTTGAATAAAATCCATTTTTGGTTATTTACTTGTTCTTAATTCATCATACTTCAAATTGGCCTAATTTTGCAGAATATTTTGGCGTCAAATTGGCATGGCAATCTTAATACCATTAAAGCTGATTCCAAAGGAAGGTATGCTTGCTATTTTCTTCAAACAATTTTTTTTTAATTTTTTTTTAATAATGATATGTGTTGATACCCATTTAATATTTCTTAGCAAGCAGGAAATATATACTTCAAAAGTGAAGTATTTATTGAGGAAGGGGAGACCTTACATTTGGGTTCCTGAAAAAGACTTGCATAATGTGGTATGGTGACCTATATTTCAATTTCTTTCCTCCTTTTGTAATTGCTTGTTTGTATGTGTTCAGTTATTTGCACTTGGGTGATTTCTACAGTCGCGTCCCAAAATTTGATTTTGCTATACAATGGCTTGTAATTTTTTTTATGTGTTTAGGATTGTGGGATTGAAATGGGTGTGAGAGTAATAATCGGCTTTGAATTTAATAAGATCTTCATGCATTTTTGGTTTGATTTACTTATCGTATTTTAAAATCTAAAATTTGGAAAACGCGTATTTTGGCTGTATGAAGTTTTCAAGTAAGTTGAGTCTATGTACTACTCTGTAACATTAGTGGCAAGATTAAATTCTTTCCTGGAGGAATCTTACATAGAGGAGGCAGGCACTAGTATGGGACTATGGGGTATGCCATAGAATGGATAGCCAAAAAGAGGTAAAAAGAAGGAAAGTGAAAATTAAATTGATCATGCTTGAAGCTAAGTTCACTATGTTAGTTGATGAGATCTTGCTGTTTTTGGAGCTAAAACTTGTGGTTATTTTTTGGGTGCAGAATACTCTCATTGACGAACGTGCTTCCTTTGCAGTGCCCAGGCCTTACCCTGGGCCACTTGCAAATTTACTTAGATCAATGAAAAAGGTCAGTTTAAAAATGTAATCTTAAACAAAGTGGCTAATATCTGTTAGACACTTGACGATCATCCTCTCTTTTTTTATTTTTTATTTTTCATGTTTCGTTTTTTCTTTTGTGTTACAGCTTCCAGTTCGAATTGCTTTAACTGGTGAAGTTGTTCCTTTAGGAGATGAGAAGGTAAATCAGCCTTTCTATGAGAGATAACTTTAGAATGATATGGAAAAAACTTGATTTTTTCTGCACTCAAATTACTCGTGTGTTTTTTCTACTTGTGACTGTTGTTACTACACACTACTATAAATTTCTCCTAAGCATTTATAGTACTAGTTTCAGTGTGACTGTTTTTCTGTAGATTTCTCCTTACGGTTAATGAGGACGCTGTGTAAATTATATGTTACAGCTTCTTGATCATTAGTTCTTTGGAAAGTTTGCTGACTGATACATTACTTCAGCTGGACGTAGGTTGTAACTAATGAATATGCAAATAAATTCGATCTCAATTCATTAAACAGAAGGCTTCATGTTTTTTCCTTGAGCCATCTTCAGCATATGCAGCAAATCTTATCATCACAGTCCACGGCCATGCCAGCTTTGTATCAAGAAAATAACATTACAGTCATGAGTATATGTGAACACCCAGCAGTAGTTATTTAGCTGCATTAGTTACTGTATTATTCCTTGCATTTCTTTTTCCTTTCCTTTTTTTTGTGTGTGTGGGGGGGGGGGGGGGGGGGGGAGGAGGGGAAGAAAATGGGGAAGAGGGGCCTTTGTCATTTGTATACTTATATGCCGAGAAATATTCCACATATGTACGTAGCAGTATTTCACATATGTTTGTAGCACATCTTTTCTGAAATTTCTGCATTTTGGTGTGATATTATCCTTAAAACCGTGTCTTTTGATTGCTGTTGGAATTTGTTAATTATCTGTTGTGTCGTTGAATCCTTAGATATAAGCAAATCACTGGCATAAAAGCCACTGGTGGAGGTTTCTTCTGTCTTGAGCGTTATTGTCCACTTTTTTTAGGATATTGTTCATTACCATTTTCTCCAAGATTACTCTTGGAATTTAGGAAAAGATTTTATGAGTCTTAAACTGGTGTACCAAAACTGCTAAGGTGTAGTTTGGCTCTCAAGAAAAAATGGTCCTTTTTGTTTCTCTTTGTTGGCCTTTGCTAGAGGTATAATGCTCGTTCTTTCTACCATAATTTGATCACCCAAATTATGATTTCCATATTGAGATAAGTTGTTATGAATAGATATTTTAACCTATCCTTATTCTAGAACTAATTTTCACTTGTAGTTTCTTTGTAATAGTTATAGGTGATCTAGCATATGTGATGCTAGAATCACCGTTTGCTCCAGCCATACCCATGTCACCGGGCGTGGACAAGGTGGTTAGACACGGGACTGAGATAACAATATCAGCTCTTTCTACAGTAGATCAAATATTGAAGTTGAGATGCACAAAAGCAACAATTAAGACGACTTTTCTTCTGCTTGTTAGGGTGGTACACTTTTCAGGCATCTAGACTCCTACAGCCACCTTGTCTGGCGCTGGCTGTTCCGTTTCTTTCTCCAGTAAAATAGAGTGATGGACCTGCTGTCTTGTGAGATGGGGAAGTGATAAAGTAAACTAAGTAGATTTATTTTCTTTTGTAATTACTAAGCTTGTGGTACCCATGTAGGCTTTATTTAACCTCTGATTATTGACTTGTCTTTTATAATACTTCCTCCTTTTCTACTTAGTTGACACGTTCAATTTAGGCACACATAATAAGGAGAGGAGAGAGAATGAGAGAGAATAATAAAGCAAGTGGGGTACACTAGTAAATGTAAGAGAAAAAGCTTACCCAAAATAGAAACGTGTCTACTAAAAATAAACTTCCCAAAAAGGAATACGTGTCAACTAAAAAAAAACGGAGGTAAGTATTTATTTAGGTTAATTGTGTTTTACCACCCCTCAAAACACCCTATTTTGATTTAACCACCCCTTAAAACACCTTATTTTGATTTAACCTCCTGTTTTTTTGTGTATTTTATTTAACCACCCACAAAACGCAAAAAAGTTAGATCTCATCATCTCGTAACTAAAAGTTATCGATTTTTGTGCCAAAACTTACTCTATTAAAGTTTTAGGGGTTTTTTTGTCTTTTGGGTCCGATTTAAGGTCAAACCACCCAAAAGTAGTGGCAATGCTTCCTTTTGTGTGTGTCACGCAAACCGAAGTAATTCTTAGCCTGCAAAACGAGACATTTTCAATAACTATTTTCCAATTTTGACCTCAAATCGAACCTAAAACTATGTTACTCAAACTCTTCATTTTACCTCAAGTATTCGTCTTGTCAAAAAAAAAAAAAAAAAGAGTATCCGTGTCAGACTCGTAACACTCGAACATGGGTATGCCACTTGGACACTTCATTTTAGATTAAAATTACATAAAATTTTCACAAAATAGCTGATTCAAACACTTGGACACGTACCCGTGTCGGACATGGGTACCCGAGTCCGATTAACATAGACCCAAAGGACCAAAAATACCCTAAAAACTTAATATAGAGCAAGTTTTGACACGAAAATTGATATTTTGTGGAGAAATTGTGGTGTTTAGTAGGAAGAAGACCTACTATGTTAAACAGCTAAGGTTCTAGAGACGGTTAAAGAAAACATCATGGAGATTTTTGAGGTACAGCCGTACAGAGCAGTCTAATAGGCAGAGACTGGGTATTTATATTGTGTGTATGTGTGCTTTAATTGTTTAAGTTATTACTTTTAAAGATGAGGCTAGAAATTGAAGAAGTTATATTCAAGCAATGATGGTTGTCAACTAGGTCAACTAGGAGAGTTGGACTACACAACATGTTCCTAGCTTTCAAAAGGCAGGATGGGTGCATACTCTTTGGATGGAAATACATATGACCAAAGAGCATTCTTTTTGGTTGGATATGCACAAACATAAATCCAAGAGATCAATGTGGTAAAAGATACCCTTTTTTATGCTTCTTGGAACTGACAATCTTCAAGATGATGAATGGATCCATATTTTTTCTTGGATTGGGTTGATAAAGTTTTGTTGTCCTTCGAGTTTTGTTCTCCTTATAAATTTTCTTAGATGTTATATATTTTTGTCCCCTGAAGGCTTTATTTATTCGATCCTTTTTTGTTTTGTTCACAGGTTAGGTCTGCTACTGAAAGTGTCCGGAAAATGGTAATGTCTGAACAAAAGAAAATAATTGAGTCAAGTTATGCAGGTTCTGGTATATTGAGTTCCTCAACTTTTGGCAACACATCTCGAAGTGAAAACCTTGTAGAGCTTCTGGACAATGATGATAATTATTCAGTGTACAAGTTCAATGTCAGGTAGAAAATCTATTTAGTGTTTATTTTTTCTTCTTTTTTTTTGAAAATTCTACAACAACAAAGTCTTATTCCCAAAATGATCAATTGTTGGTAGTTTGCACCAAAATTTTCCATTTATTCAAATTTGGATCTCATAGTTCTATTTGGAATTGTCCTTGGAAGTTGGAACTTTGTTGTACTTAGTTACCACACCATTATTAGTGCAACACAAAACTTAGTTGTAAATACTAATTTTGGCACGTATATATTACTAACGGCCTTGATGCTCTAAGTAGTGGACTCTGCAGCCAAGAGCCTTATTTTCTGCAACTCAATCCAACTTGGGATATTCTGATCCTCTGTCATCTCTTCTACTCAAGTTGGTGGTTGACTAGTGACAACCACTTTAAAAGAAAATTGTTGAGACCTAATATGTAATAAATTAATTATTTCTTGTGGATGCCAACTAGCTTAGTTGGTTAAAGTCTTGGGGGGTGGTACTCAAGACCTAATCTCGTCTACATCATTGCCCTTGCGGCTCTCTCTACATCCAAAAAAAAAAAAAAAAAAATTCTAGTAAAATATTTTAGGAAACTCACAGCGTGTGGCCCATTGAATATTCTATGATGTGGACCCATATGTAAAGTGAAGTCTTGGAGGAGAGTTGCGAAGTCTACAACTTCCCTTCTGTCCCCCTTCCACCCCTAAAAATAGAAATACAGACTTCGTTATTTTTTGGTAGACACATTTTGACTTAAGCACTTTTCACGCTCTCCCCTTTGACTTATTTTTTTATTTTTTTTTTTTTTTTTTTTGGTGATTAATACATGACGAAAAATATAGTAATGTGGGTTTTTGCTATGTTCGTCTCGATATATGATTTCAAAAATCTACTTTTTATATTGCTTATCGGATTTGTGCTTTGGCAAACGTGATTAAAGAAGTGTCACCTTATAATGAAGTATTTAAATAAATGATTGTTGGGTGCATAATAATTCGTTAACAGATTAATGTATGCGTTGGTTCCTACTTGTATATGTGTGTATTCCAGCTCTTGCATGTTCATTGATGGCAATGGTGGCAATCATGAAGTGGATCCAGATGATTTTGGAACAGCAAAGCCTGACAAATTACGTAAGATTCTTATTGGATAGAATGACAATTGTTCATGTTTGTCTTATTACTTAATATTTGTTGTGATAAAATGTTTCACTTGCTAATCAACAGAATGTTTTCTCTGTAGCTCCTTTTACTGCAAAGCTAATTGATGGCATCAATCAGAGTGGGATAAGGCGTAGAGCACTAGTTGTTTTTTGTTTTGCCTTCTTAAACGAGAATGCAAAGGTAAGCTATCAATTTCTCGTTATGAATGGATATTGCATGATATGTTCAATAAGATGATAGTTAGGCAACAAAAGGGGAAAAAGGTGACTAATTATTATTTTGTTAACAAAACCATGTACTTTCCTCTAAGGCTTCCAAGGGCTGTATGATGTTACCAAATAAGTAAACCTTTTTTAGACTCGCCTATTTAAAAAAATCTTGATGCAGTGAAATTTAGATTCTATTTGTGTGGATCAGATTCTCCCCACTTCATTGGATATTGACCTTAAAAGCTACCATTTTGTAGAAGTTAGTTCAGATGAGAACATGTGTGAACTGCATTTTTCTAGCCCAATATAGGCCTATGAAGTATGCTAAACCGTCAGCTTGAAGCGTCAAACTAGGCATGCCTTGCAGCCATCCTTGTATGAGTGAGTTGTAGCTCCTTCATCCTTCATCACCCAAGCAAACCTTGTAGATGATTTGTAATTTTCCCAAGAATCATCTAGTAGGTGAACCCAAAGTATAATGGCCAACATTTGCTTAAAAAAAAAGGAATTATACTCCTTATCCTCTGGGGGGTTAAAGTACACAAAGTAGCAGTTTGTCGTATCTTGTAAATCTGATGTAGACCCATTCCAAATGCGATAAGGGCAGCCACAATCACCTGATTTTCTTAGCTCCCTTGAAATATTCATTGTTGGGGGGTCCAGATGCCCCATATTATGCAAATTTAATGAAATAACCTTTGATTAAGTTTCCCGTCCTGGCTATGAAATGGCAGGATATGTGATTGAAGTATTTTTTTTAATTTTTTGAGTGATAGTAAAAGGGCTGTGCCCCAAACATGTCACATAAACAGTAGAGGTGTTGTACACCATCTTCATGCTGCTCACGCATTACCTTTGTAGAAAGGCCCCTTCTGCTTAGATTTACCCTAATGCTATGCAGTCATGCCAGATGCCACAATTTCCTGACATTCCTTGTAAATAACTTTCATTTGGGGAAGATGTTAAGTTTCCATAGAAATTTTCAGAATCTTGTCTTTTGTAGAAAAGGGATATGATCTCTGTTGTAATAGTTCCCTGTGACATAGTTGCTTGAGTGAGAAAAGGCATAAAATTTATAGGGATGAAATTTCCAATACATAAAATCATCCATACTGTCTGTAGGCAGTCCATTGTCCCTCACATATGAGATCTCACATCATCTATTAATTTGGGCTGCATCCCATCTTGGTGGGTTTGGATTACTTTGGATCCACAATACTGCACATCTTCCATCTTAAAGATCCCAGCAAGTCAGATGTTCGATTTGATCTCCAGAATCTAGCTATTGACCTATTTGTCAGTACTTTCCTTTTCTTTAGAATCCTCCTCATCCTTTAAGAAGCAGCCAGATGTGCCACATCCTTCTTTTTACCTGTCATGAGCAAGAATGGAGCCAAAGGATTATACTTCTTGCGTTCTTAATAAATTGCAACAATACTATTTGGGAAGCTTCAAAATTATTGCAACAATTCTATTTTAGGAAGTGTTCTCTTCACATTATAAGTTACATTGCCTCTGTTTCATAATGTTCGTAACATATTCTGTTTTTGTCCGTTTTGCAATGCTCTTAACTTATCTATTTTATTTAGTTTACTCCTTTTTGTTAACATGTCCCTCTTTACTACCTTACCCCCTTACCCCATTGTACCTACACTTTTCCACTCATTCTCTCTAACATTATTCACCTTTTACCCACCCACCTCTTTTACTCTATCCATCTCTTTCTTATGCACACCCACCTTATTTACACTCTCTTCTTTGCATTAATTCTTTTGCAAACAAAAAATGTTAAGAACATTATTATGAAATGGAGGTAGTACAAACTTTACCCTTACCCAACCCACTTGTTTACCTTAATTTCTCTCTTTTCTATTTCTAATCACATGGGGTCTTTTGGTCTGAAACTCTCTTACTTTTTCTTGAAATTTGTTCCAGCCCATCCAATTGCTATTTTTGTACTTCCTCTTTTTTTTTTAGATGCATCACTTTTGAATTCACAGACTCCTAGGCAATTTTTGGAGTATAGAGAGAGAGAGAGAGAGAGAGGGTCATGTGATATGAGAGAGAGAGAGAGAAAAATTAAAGAGGGTCATGTGATATGAGAGGGATAGAGAAAATTTATTAGCTATAAAAGAAAATGATGCATCTAAATTGAAACTTCTATTTGTAGAAAGGGATGCATCTAAATAACGGCGGATGTAATTAATTAAGAAGAAGGAAGTACGTCAAAGTTGCAGATTGTGGTGCATTCTACATACCTTTTTCCTCAAGAGAGCACTGTTGACTTGTTTAAGAGTGAATAAATTTTTCTCAAGTTCCATTAATCACCTAAAAGAGGCAAAAAAGAGGTGAATCGATTTTGGACACTTTTTTGCAGCAGCATCAAGTAATTCATACATGCTGCCATTGGAAAACCAGGTTAACAAACTGCTGGCTCTCTAAAGCTTGAAAATGACAACTTTCTTTCCCATTAAATCAATTGGCGCTCCCATATGAATTCACAAGTTGGCTCCTTGTGGCATTCTCAAGATAGAAAGGAGGGTATCTCTAACCTGAAGATTAATTTCGAGGCTGTTTTTATCATAAGAATTATTCAGGATCAACTGCTAACCCAAGACTCTGCAGATTCTTGACAAGATATCTCTGTTGCTCTTAAAAACAGCATGGTGCCTTTCGCACATACAAATGTGAAGTCCTTGGGCTACAGCGAGAGATTCAAATGTTATGAAACAATTGTTTAAGCTAACATAAGAATCTGAAGCCCTTTTTATTGCTAGCAGAAGATGCAGAATTTTTTGATTTATATGAATCTTTTATTTGTTTTAGCTAACATATGAATCTGATGCCCACTTTATCTTTATTTGTGATGATCATTGCGAAGCTTCCTTCTTTCTCTTCCATTGTATCTTCTTCGAACATTAACCACAGTATAAAAGAGTGGAAAATCAATAGGGATTCTATTCCATAGTTTTGGGGTGCAGATTCTAGGACAATCTGAATTTCAGGTCGTTATCTTGGTCAACCTTATCCATTGCCATCGGATTGCAGAAATCCAGTCAGTTTTTTTGGTTCAACCACACATGTTTTGCTGTTTTAAAGTTGGAATTGATATAAATTGAAGTTGTATTTAGCATCAATTAAAGTGGCCTTCATTACAATGCCATGCTTATTCATATCCTGCAAATCTAAGCAACAATTTACTTTTTGTATGTTGTGAAGGATGCCTACATTCTGTCAGTTGATCAAAAAGGCTTCGATATGTTGGCTAAAGTTCTTAGTGGTGGCAGTGAATACCAATGGAAAGAATTCAGGATCACGTTTGAAGAAGAGGCAGATGATGTTGAGTCTTTTTGCAGTAAACTAGTTCAAATGGAAGAGGCCGCCCTTGATAAAGTGAAGAGCTGCAGTGGTTTAGGATAAATTCTTCTTATATTGCTGTCTCTCTGATGTCTGATACATGAGGACAATCTTAAAATGTAAACTGGGTTTCCGGGGGACTAATAGGGGGATAGGGGTTTGGCGGGCTGTGACATGCGGCTTATAATGCATATTACCAGGGTGTTTTGAAATCCAGGGAGGATATATGGAGGATATTTGCTTATACCTGTCATAAATTAGGATTTTCTATTGTTTCATCCATCTTTTACATGCATTGTATGTCTGTTTGTATATGGTTAGCGGTCGTGAGAAACGATTGGTGATAATGATACCTTTTGTAATGCCTTGTTCTACTAATACTGTTACCATGGAAGAACAAGTGCTAGTATTTAGTTGAAATTTCTGTTACCGGAGTGTTTTTTTTTTTTTTTTTTTTTTTTTTTTTTTTTTTTTTTTGGGTAAATCTTAAGTTAATGCTGCTAGTAAATTAGCAGAAATTAGCAGCAAAACAACTCATATTAAAGAGACGGGGATTTATTAAGGCTATGAGGAAATGGACAAGAGCTATAAGAACTTAACTGCGCTGAATTGGGTTGCTCTCTCAATCTCATATTGAAGTAAGTTGCCGTAATATAGTTTATCCCTGCTCAATGGCTAAATTGGTTGTCCTAGCGTTTTTGGTTCTTAACCAGATAATGGGGTGATTAAGAAATCTAATTATGTCGAGATGGAAAGGAAGATGACAGGTGAGGCTAGGGAAGACGGATTTTACTTATTTTATTTTTGTTTGTATGAAAATTCTCAATTAAATTTTTGTTCTTTATATTAGGTAAAAAAAAAAAAAAAAAAAAAAACTCACAACTGACCACGTGTTGATTTTATTAGCACAACTAAATTAATCGTTAAAAACACTTTATTATAGTACTCCTTTCATTCCTTATAATTTATTCACATTGGAATATCGCACTATTTATCTTTAAGATGAGAGAATCCACTAAGTTTTTCTTAATATGTTATGAAATCTAACAAATTCATGTTGGGTCTTATTTGATTCATCTTAAAAGTAGTTATTAATAATGTAGTTGTTATATATTTTCCTACAATACAAATTAAGATATCTTTGGTCAAATTAATACATTGACAAACGTGCACAATTAAAATTGAAAAAAAATTTAGGCTCGAAAGGAGTACCAAAATTTGGTTGTTTAAATTATGTTAAAAGAAGCAATTTGATTCTCGTGAATGGAAAGAAAACAAGGGATATAAAGGGAGATACGTTGTTCCTTTTCAATTACCTATTTTTTGTGTTTGTTACTACCACCAATTTTCAATTCCAACATTTAAGGTTGAGATGGTAGTAGTGGCATTACTTCCCACCTCGTATTCATGGGCTCTAGGATCAAATCTAAGGGATTCATTTGAAGGATTTTCCTTATCCCCACCCCTTAAGTGAGCCCTCTTCTCCTTATGCCCATTAATAAAATAATTCTTCCATTTCATCATCCCAAATCCCAAATCAGACACAAGACTAATGGCTCACCCCCACAAACTTGTTCATTAAGGAATTGAACAAATTTTAACAAAAATCTAAGGTTTGTTACGAAACAAATTTACTCGAATAGTTTTGTGTTGGGCTCATTAATATAATGTTTGCAAACATCTTGTTTATCACTCATTAATAGGTTGTTTATAGCTCGAAACAATAAACAATCTTATTTATTATGATGGAATAATAAAAAGAAAAATCCTTAATAGTGACCCTTAGTTTTTGAACTTTCTCTTTGGTTATCAATATTTCTTTTGTTTTGCTTTAGAATGTGGCATTAACCACTAAATTTCGTTATTGAGAACTGTAAAAGAGTTGTTAACTCAAACTAAATTAATGATCTTGGTGTTGTTTAGATTGACACAAATTCCACTTAAAAATGGTTTTTTTTTTTCCTTCCCCTTGTATCTCATATAAACCAGAATAAATTAGGACTGGGAATTCAATGAGAGAGGAAGGAAAAACAATTTGTCAAAAGCAACTTGTGTCATTTTAGTTTAAATTGCTAGTGTGTTTGAAATAATCCTTTTAAAAGTTATTTATGATGAAAAATAGTTATTAATGTCACATTCTCAAGTATAACAGAAAACACATGTTTGTCATTGAGAATTAAAATTAAGTTTCTTTATCAAAGAGATAGAAAAACACAAAACTTAGGGTTACCCTAGAGAAATTTCAATAGATAAAAAGATATTCTCTTCGTTTTTTCAGTTGCATTAATTGTAAAATCATGGATTCTTAGAGCAACTCCAATGGTTGTAGCTAGGGACTTGCTTGTCAAGCTAATTTACTTGGAAAAAAACTTGCTAAAATAAAACAAATTAGAATAAATAAAATAAAATTTATCAACGTAAATTAAGGAGGTGTGGTCCATTTAAATAGTAAGCTATTATATTAGCTAACCATTGAAGCTAAAATGACAATTAGCTTAAAAGCTTATGTGGCATGGCAAGCTAATTTAACAATTAGCTTGCCATTGGAATTGCTCTTAGGAAGTTTTTGGAGATGAAAGAGATAGAAAGAAAGAAAAAAGAGGACCCATGTGATATGAGAGAGATAGAGAGAATTTATTAACTAAAAAGAAAAGTGATACAACTAATTTGAAAATTCCTTATTTAGAAAGTGATGCATCTAAAAAGAAACGGAGGAATATATTTATTTGGCATAGGTAGGAATGAATTTGTTCAGGTTTTTAACATACTGAAACAGCTTCAAATTGTCAACGATTTTGGGTTCAACGGTTAATGATTTGTAATTAGTTTAGATACAATAGCTTATGGGCTGAAATAAGTCAATATTTTAGGTATTCCTTGCAAATATAAGTGATGAATAAATCATATAAAAACAAGCGTGTCAAGTCAAAATAATAGTAAGTATCAGGAGACATAAAAGACATAATAATCAAACAAGGATAAATATATAATGATTGTTTTCACTATTCCATAAATGGATGGTGGAGTGGGAATCTAATTCCTCCTATCTGATGTGATCTCCACAGATAAATGGTCTTTAGCTGATTTTCATGCAAAAAAGTGGATAAATCCCAATGACGTGGCAAATAGGAAGCCTAGAGATTGCAAATTCTTCCTTTTTACTCTTTTTTAGCTGCCAAATTCAATTACTTGACCCAATTCTCTTCAAACCCCACTTAACTTTGAACTTTTGACAAACGGCGCTTATTTACTAGTTGTACATGTCATATTAATAGTGTTAATAAGATATAAAGATGATAATAGACATTACACAACCAAAATATATATGGTCATGTGACTATACAATAAAGTTGATTCTATGTTAGATTCCAAATTACTTGTTTATTAAACATCAACGTTAGCTCTTTTGTTCCTAACTTTTTTAATTTTTTTTAATTTTTTTTTTTTTAGTTTTACAATTAGGATCATCTTTCGCTTCTTTTAAGTTCTTAATGATCAAAATAGATTTGTTTTTATTTGGTGAACATGGGTCAATGAAGTTGTTCTTAAGACTTAAGGTATATATTGTACAATTTGAAACCTTTTTAGAAATAATGCTTTGAATAGTTTGATGCGACCAATTATCTTATACTTTTAGCAAACACAAAAATGAAATTTTAGGATTTTTGATGTCATAAAACTTGGTAATATTAGGAAAACTGTGATGTAATAAAACTTTGAATCCATTGCATGTTACAACACTTTTTTTTTTTTTTTTTTTGACAAAAGCAAATGGTACTACACAAAGAAACTACACATAATTAGACATGGAAAAACGATATCCTCTTGTAATATCGTTTTCCCTTTGCACCTGTTCTCTTGGAACCTTCAAGATTGCACACCTATGAAACTTAGCCCCCACTTCCTTTATCTCCTTTAACATCCAAGTTATCGTGATGTCCTTACCAAACTTACCCTGTAGATTGTTGAGAAGAGAGATAGAGTTTGATAGGATCATGATCCCCTGTTTTCCTTTTCCTTGGGCCCATTTCATGGCTTCAAGGCAAGCCCAAGCTTCACATTGAATAGCTGACGAGGCTGCTCCGTGTTTTCCGCCCTCATCCATTGTGTAGCCTTGATCATTTCTTGTGACTGACAAGCAACCCCTGCTCTAGTAGAATTCTTATCCCAAGAACCATCCACTTCAACAACGAATGTGTCATAGCCCACCTTTTCTTTTCCTAGTTGCACATGGTTAAAACCTGGAGGGATGCTTGGGTCGTCTCTTGTTATAGCCATGTCATCATCATGGTGAATACTCTGTTGGTTGAAAACATGGTCATTCATTGCTAAGCTTGTGAATTCCGTAACTAAGCTAGCGGTTCCACTTGCACCATTGAAGCATCTTGCATTCCTAGTCTTCCATAAGCCCCATAATGTCGCAATGAACAGGATGCTACAGGTGCTATACTTACCATCCTCGCTATAAAAGAGCAGGATATAGCTCTGAATCCATTTCCTCAAAGTGTTGGACCCAGGAGAGTCAGGTTAAATTGTCAGGGATCCATTCTCTCAGACTTCCTTTGCTAGAATACAAAATCGAAAGAGGTGTTGGCTATCTTCCCTTTCCATCCCACAAAAGTCACAAGCTTCATTGACCTGTATTCCTCTTCTAGCTAAGTTAACCTTAACTGCAATACCATCATGAAACAGTTTCCATAAGAAGAGCTTCCATTTCGGCTGAATATTCAATCTCCACACCAGCTTCACAAAAGTCTGATCCGTAGTGGAGAAGGAGGATCTTTCAAACCCAATTCCTTTGAGAGGTAGTAGTACTCTGTCTTGACTGTGTATCTCCCCGATGGATGGTGTTTCCAATAAAGGAAATCATCCTCCCTTGAATATGGCAGCTCCATTGACAGAATTGACTTTGCACTATTCCAGTCAAAACACTCCCTTACCTTCCCCGCATTCTAAGAAGTCATATCTTCATTGATAAAATCCTTCACTTTCCAATTCAAGGAAAACCCCAGCTTTTGATTTGAGTTCACAACTGGGATTTCCCCTTTAACCCAAGGCATACAGATTGCTTTAATGTCCCTCCCTTTACCAACTTTCCAAGCGAAACCATCCTTGAAAGACCGAGTAACCTTCTGCTATAGGCTTCTCCTTCCCATTGATGGGTTCCCCATTCTAACATATGGTTAGCCATATTGCAGATATCACATGGTTGGAACCCCCTATGCACCCTTGAGATAGAAGTTGTAGATTAAGGTGCATCCTTATTGATTGTTTGAAAAGGAGGGCATCATTAAGAATCGAAGTACCTCTAATCCCTAGACCTCCCATACTTTTAGGAATTTGAGTAATTACCCTACTTACCAAGTGCATTCCTTTATTCCCCTTGTTGGACCACCAAAACCGAGTAAGGAGCGAATCGA